ATTTTCGTTCTTTGCCTTTATTTTACCACTCCGAGCTTCGCCCCCAAAGAAGCATGTGCGAAGCTGCCACGTCATTAAGGAGTTTTTATTTTTATTTTTTCTATTATCTGTGCGCTGTAAGATAGTAGTTGCTGCATCTGTAGTGGGCATGTTGATTACCTTCCGTGATTGCCGACGAGGTCTCAAACTAGATTTGACCTTTACCCTGAACCTGCCGGAACTAAAGAAAGCAGAGTACATTATGTCGGCGCTTGGATCTCGGTGAATGTTGCCAAGCTGCCTTTCTTGCCGCCTGCCACTTTGGCAGCCTTGGGGGAGAGCCCTGACGGGAGATCGCCTAGCAAACAGGGATCTGCGGGGGAGTTAGCATGGCAAGCCAGGCCCCTGCCTAAACTGAAGATGTTAATGGGAGAGATGGTGATCGTGAGAAGCTTGCAAAGCATGGGCTGCGCCCTGGGGCAAACGAGTCTTCGCGATGAGCCCCATCCTTGCGAAACTGCCCAAAAAAGGTTGTTAGAAATGTACAATAAGTGGTGAGAGCAACATTTTTGTCGTTAAAACTACAAAATAAATGCTTCTGCCCTCTTGCCTATTCATCCGACCTGACGCTCGGCGTGTCTATCATTCCCCCATACGGCAGTGGGGAGTGTCCGCTAGGGCCGGAGAAAGGCCACTGAAGGAGCAGAAGCGGGGACGGGTGCTGGCCCTTGCGGCCACAGCGTTACACGAGGCGGCCTTCGTTTGGTAGACAGCAACAAGCAGCCGCGTGCTACCAAGCCGCGGACCAATTCCAGCGGATGTTGTTAATGAGCTAACAGTGAGCGACTGCGTGCCTTGGAACAGCCTCTTCCATGGTAGTTTAGCTATATAAAACGGATCTCCCAGTAGTTTACATGAAGATACCACATACACGTGTCCATATAAGCATCTTCATCCTATATCCTTCCATCAGGGTAAACGCGACAGACCGTCACGGAGAGGGCAAAGTACCAGAAATGCGCCTATTGCTGGGTATTTGAGGAGCCGGGGGTCTGCGGACTTGAGACGGCGGTGGATGTTTCCTCCCGTGCAATGCGATTTTTTTTTTTTTTTGAAGCGCCCAGAAGAGACTGACGGAGATTAGGATTGCCCTTCCCTTCCGAGCAATTTTAATCTGGCCGGAGCGAAATGTTACCGGCGCCCTCGGGAAATGCTAGGCCTACGCTGAAGGAGGAGCTGCAAGGGGGCAGGAATCCAGGGCATGAGAGGGAGCTACTACTTGTGGATGTGGAACCCCCTGACCGGCATAAACCTGGCCGGCACGGAGGCAGGAAAACACTGCCTATCGGGGCAGATGCGCGTTGGAAGCTCGGCCGAAATTTTCCATGGACTGAAGCGAGGCGTCGATGATAGCATGGAGCTACGGCCAGGGACTTGCCAGGGAGCTGGCTAAGCCTACCGTCTTGTGAGGGGCTGATTAGCGCGTGCACCCGGGGCGGCGTGCCCTGGGAAGGGGTTGATTTTGGCCGGGTGCCGGAGCCTCCTGCGGAGGCCGCTAGACTTCCTTGTTCTTTTTCTTCCGGCAGCTGCCCACCCCGTCCTCGCCCCTGATCTTTCGGGAGAGCTGGCTGGCGACTGCTGCGGCATGGTCTGGGGGACCCGCGCCGGAGACCTGGCTCCGAAAGCTCGCGGAACGGGAGAAAGAGGGCTGCCTGGGGGCTGAGGAAATGCCCCTGCTGCCTGGAGACGAGCCGATGAGGAAGTCTGCCTCTGCCTGTACATGAGCCGCTGCGGGAAAGCAGTTACCCTGGTTGGTTATTGCTTATGGTACACAGCGGAAATAAACATTATGGGACATCACAAAGTGGGACCAAAATGGATCGAGCTCATTTTCAGACAGGTTTTTATATAAATGGATCAGGACAAAAAGTGAGGGAATCTTTTTTCCTGAAACTTTCAGAATCTCTTCACACAGAGGGGTTGCATGTTTATGTACAGTGCATCCGTAAAGTATTCATACCCCTTCACTTTTTCCCTCATTTTGCTATGTTACAGCCATATTTCAAAATGGCTCAACATTCGAGACACAATACCCCATAATGACCAAGTGGAAAAAGTTGTAAAATATGTTTTGTAAATGAATTAAAAATAAAACACTCAAATATCACATAAACATAAGTATTCACACTCTTTACTCAATACTTTGTTTAAGCACTTTTGGCAGCAATTACAGCCTCAAGTCTTCTTGAGTATGATGCTACATGCTTGGCACACCTATCTTTGGGCAGTTTCTCCCATTCTTCTTTGCAGATCGTCTCAAGCTCCATCAGCTTGGATGGGGAGCGTCGGTGCACAGCCATTTTCAGATCTCTCCAGAGACGTACAATCCGGTTCAAGTCTGGGCTCTGGCTGGGCCACTCGAGGATATTCACAGACTTGTCCTGAAGAGCACACAGCCACAATAACAAAGGAGTGGCTTCAGGACAAGTCTGTGAATATCCTCGAGTGGCCCAGCCAGAGCCCAGACTTGAACCGGATTGTACGTCTCTGGAGAGATCTGAAAATGGCTGTGCACCNGTGTGCGTTGGAGGAGGGGGCTCTTAAGAAGTGGCAGATTTTTTCGGTTGTGGGGTTATTTTCAAATTCAGGCGCACATCTGAGCTGGTTTCTTCCCAAATTACCTTACCCACTTAAGTTATGAACAATACCCTAGACCTTCCATTATAATCAAGTATGCAGCAATGAAATAGGAGGGGCTTGTGGCTGTAAATAACTGTTTTCACCAAAAGGTACAGAAAATAAAAAGTGCCTTTTTTGTCAAATGACATTGTCCACCTTTCTGCGGCTTTTGTTTTCTCCTTTTGTCCACCTTTTGTCCCTTCCCCCTATGAGCTGAAAACCCAAGGAGAGATTAGCACCGATGAGCACTAATGAAGAAGTGGTGCACTACCAGTTTTATCTGCATAACACACCACACACACGCGTTCTCAGCAAGGACACAGCAGGACGGCGCGTTAGTAAAGGTAGTCCTCTGTGAATTAGAGAGAGAGATTGCCCTCCACTCATCCTTCCTGTCACAGGAGTGGTGTCGCACTAAATGCCTCCCCCTAACAATACAGTCCCACATCACTCACACGTCCTGCTCGACTCCCTCCCCTCATGAGAGACAAATTCCACTAAAACTTTCTCCCCCCTTGTGTAACATACACACACCTGATCCCCTCCTTCACCCTCCATACATCTCCTCTCTGCTGTCTCACCCCCTTCTGGTTCTCATCCCTTGTTTCCAGCCCCAGCAGCTCTCACATTCCTCTCGCCTCTACCTCGCCTCTTTTCCTTTATCATTAATCTGTTGTCTCTGATTCACAATCCACCATGCTTGATTTGCAGTTCCAGTAACCAAGGTGAAATATGTGGGTGTTTTATATATATAAGACTATGTATGCATTGGGAAAGGAGTCTTGCTTTCAGTAGCTATAATAAACCTTTTTTTCCAGGTACAAGCTTCACTGCACACACAACACACACACAACACACCACACACACACACACACCACACACACACACACACACACCACACACACACACACACACACACACACACACCACACACAAACACACACACACCACACACACACACACACACACCACAACACACACACACACACCACACACACACACACACACCACACACACACACACACACACACACCGCTGTGATCTTTTAAGGCAAGAAAGGAAGTAAAAGCAATAAAATGGAAAAGAGCTGATTCTGTTTTTAGCCTTCAAACACGGGTCAGCTTTCTCTACTCTCCACTTCAGTGCATACATTTGCTGGTGTTAGTGTGTGTGTGTGTGTGTGTGTGTGTGTGTGTGTGTGTGTGTGTGTGTGTTTACAATTGCTCACTCTTTTTCTCTTTAAGACAAGCTTTTAGTCTTATTAAGTAAATCCATTGACACTACAAGCCTGAATATATGGCTTATTAATTAAATGTTGCTCCAAAATATCTGCTTTGTCATAAGGTCTGTGTGTGTGTGTGTGTGTGTGTGTGTGTGTGTGTGTGTGTGTGTGTGTGTGTGTGTATGTGTGTGGGTTTGTTTGTTTGTTTTTGTACCTAATATGATGCCGTTGGGGTTTGTGGGCGGCTGCCAAACCACCCTAACTGATGACAACCGAACTTCTGGAAACACCATCCTGACAGGGGGGCCTGGGACTGGAGAGAGACATTGAGAAGGGAGTTGGCAGTATAATGAAGCAGTAATAATATATACAGAGAGCAGTGGCAAAACAAGCTCAAAATGACTCCTTCAAAGCACTCATTAGCAAGAGAGTTTCTGAACATCAAGCACTTGTACTCTTATAAGTTAGTATGTTCACAGACACATCTGCATATGCACAGCCACTCACACATGCACACACACATCCAAACACGCACACACATAATAGTCTAATACATTTTTAAGAGGCATGGCACTTCTAAAAGGAGCAACATAAAGAAATGTAATTTTCTCTCAACCTCACACCGTCCAGATAAAAGTAAAAGTTCCACATCACATGTCAGCGAGCGCGTGTGTGTGCATACAGTATGTGTGTGACAGACTGACAGACGGGATGGACGTTCATTATAACCTGTGGAAATTGACTTCCCCACTCTTGTTTCATCCTGAAATGAGAAAAACTTTTCATACGTGACAATGTTTGATAGCAGATGTGCGTGTGAGTGTGTATGACTATGTGTGTGTATGTGTGACTATGTGTGCGTGTGAGAGTCTTCTTTTACATGTCCTTGTGTTTCATTATTCAAGGAGACAAGACCGGGCTGCTGGCATCCTGAAAAGTCTGTCATGGTTGTATCTGAGGGTATCTGCACACATGGCCCACACAAAAACACACACTCATACACAACTTGTTCTCAAAGTCTTGGCTGTGGAAGGGGTCTGAGCGGTGAGCTGTACCCAGTGGATGTAGGTGGGACGAGGGCAAAGTGTAGAACAAACTGCTGGACAGAAAGGTCAGTGATCAGAGCGAGACACGGTGAGACATCTTACCGTCCTCTCTGGTTCTGAGCAGTGAGGGGCCGCTCTGTGGGCCGTCACCCATCCGAGTGTATGCCAGCACCTGCAGCTCATACACTGTGTATTTTTTGAGACCACTGAGGATCAGCGTCACACTCCCCTCTCCTTCTGCCACCTGAACACTGGGGGGACCTTCTGAGTCCTTCTCACTGTAAAACACCTGGACACACGTAAACATGCATAAATGTCACAAATGTAATCACAATCACAAATAAGGGTGATCTAAAATGAAAAATTAACAGTTGAATATTGGAATTTGCACAAAATTGTCTTTTTTTCTTAATTTACAGTAGGTTTGGTGGCTCCAAAATGATACGTTTGGTGATACAACTATATATGGTCAACAAAAAATAAATAAAAATAAAACAAACTCACAAAATACTTTAAGACTGTTGCAACTTGTCAGCAGCATTCCCAAGCTGTTTCTTCCTACCTCAGATATTAATATTTAAAACTGCTCTAATCCATATTATATTACTATTCAATATTAACACTGGATCACAGGACTACTACTGTGTGCTGCAAGGTGTCACGTGTAGTGATGACCCCGCCCATCCCTCAGTTCTGTACGGACTGTTACCTTACTGTCTCGCTGTCTGTCTGCATTTCTTCTGTTTTGGTTCACTGTCACTGCTCTCATACCTTTGTGTTTGGCCACAGTCAGCAGATGTTTTTATAGTCAAATCTTTAACATCTTTTAAAGGTCCGTACAGTGACTTTTGAGTTCATGCTGCCCACAAGGTCTGTTAAATAAGCTTTTGCAAGTTTATAAACAGCCCACAAATATATAGTTTAATTTACAGTGAAACATGAAGTATAAAAGATATGGACATTTAAAAGTTTTTCCTTATTGGATTTCTATTCATTCTGTATACGTAGAGTATTTCTGCACAGATGCACACAAAGATAACCAGATATTAGTACACTATTATTTGTATAATTCAATTCCAGTGGTGGCTGTGTAGGATTGTGTTTAGACTTGTGTTATTCAAACATTTCTAATAACTCGAGAGTGTTGGGAAGTCTAAAAGTCCAACTATTGAAAAAATATTGTTTTAATCCTTTTAAAATTCACAACATGTTTTGATCTAACAAAATATTCAGCTTCAATCCATATTTGTTTGCATTTAGCTTTTTAAAAAACAAAATGTTCACAGCGGTCAAAAACTGATTGCTTCTCTACTTGTAAGGCGCCCAGTGACAAGTAATATTCCTCAAAGAAAGTGGATTGAATGGAAAAAGACAAACTTATTTAAACCGATGAATCCCTTCATTCAAATTGAGGATTTTTGTTTACATCAAACATTCCAAGCTGTATTTTGAAAACCTCATGAGAAGGTTTGAAATATTTTTAATTTACATTTCTTACAGTTTTCTTGCTTCAGATTTGGTGTGCTAGTGAGTAGCTGTACTGTACAGTATGAGGAGTTAATTGTGCCCACTACTGTACATTTAAGTCAACTTCATTTAGCCCCAAATGAAACATAGTATATATACCTAATCATTCACAATCTGCACAGCGTAGGTCACATCGAGCTATGGATACAGAAGCTATGGATACAGAGGCAATGCCTGCTGCCTTGACAATGAGAAAAATATAGAAAATCATGAAACCTGACTTTTTACGGAAACGTCTACAATAAACCAATCCTGAATTCAAAAAGTACACCAGTGCCCTTTCACTGGTAACAGCATTACGTCTCAAAAACAGTTCGTTCCTGTTCTTCTCTCTCCAATTTTTTATTTTCATGAACTCCCTGACACACTTAAAAAACAATTTGAAGGAAAATGTCAGCTCTTAGGAGTTGAGAAACAGAAAGAGTGTGTGGCAGGAGAACTATTAAACATTTACTTGGGGATGGGAGAGGTGAAGAGCTACCGCTTGCAGCCAATCCCATCTCCAGTATTAGCATGGTAGGCATACTACTCAGTGTGATCCTCAGGAGAGCACAAGAAAACACACATATGGGGAGTTTGATGTGCTTTGGGCATGGTGTATGATATGAACTGAATTTTACACAACATTTTAAGATACTGGATGGTACTGGTTCCTATCACACAGTCACAGCCGGTTTTTCTTAGTGGAATTATGTATTTTTAACATAACCGTGTCCATGCATTGGAGGATAAATGTCCTTCCTTTAAAGCTTTCTTCTGCTGTCTTTTGTTAGGGCGGTGATTAAGAGCTGCACTCACTGCCAGGTTTACATTAGCAACAAATATTACGTGATGTGCTTTTCTGTGTAACATTTTCCTTTCCCAAGATGTTCAGGGGAGCTACATATATTTGCCACCGAACAAGAGAAGTTATATTGCACAAAAACAGAATACTGTTACTTGTCTGCCTTTCATTCTTAAATCAAACAAGGAGGTGGAGTACATTAGAATAACCCCCTGGAGGGTCTGCGTGGGAGTGAAAAAGGGAGAAATGTGACTGCCAGTAAGTAGTGCACTCAGGTAAAAATGTGTGCACCTGGCACTTCACCATCAACAGTATTCATCCAGCTTTTTCTTAAAAACCTGCAAATGTCAAATACGTCACCATCAGGAGGCTCCAGCATGACAGACTTATCCAACTGAGTTTGTGAATATAACAAGAGACTGCCAAGGCACACG